CAGGGCTTCGGCCATAATTATCTCTAAACAAAAGCTACAGTGGAATCTAAAACTTAAAATGCCATTCCCCAAGGGCAAATTTACCAGGCACAAAGTGCTCTTCATCAGCTCAAAGGAAGAAAACTATGCACAGCACTTCTATGTCACAGCAGTCTGCAGGGTGAGGTCTGTAACCAGATTTACTAACTACTCTAGTGATGTCAATGTCACACGTTTGGCCCAATAGTAAGCAGACAGAGATCACTGAAGTTCCTTAGTTCCATGTCTGATTCAGATTCATAAACGAACCAAGAGGTTGTATGGCAGTGGGCTTTCAAGCTCTAAATTGAAGGTTTTGTTTTGATGAGATGTGCATTTAATCTATGAATCATTTTTTTTAAACTCCTTACAGAGGGCCGGCCGAGTGGCGCGATGGTTAAGAACTGGCTTAGGACGCCAGAGGGCCCCGGTTCGGATCCCACATATGAGGGCCAGTGACACTGCCCTCCACAGCTAAGATGCTGAACAACAGCTCAACCTGGAGCTGGGCTGCCAAGAGTCACCTGCGACGGTGTAGGCTGCAGCCCCTGTGGCAGTGGGTTGCCATGGGCTACTGTGTGTAGCCAGTAGCCAGCAGCCAGCAGCCAGCAGCCAGCAGCCAGCGTGAGCGACCAGCAGCCACAGTGAGTGGCCGTCCAGAAGCCGGCAACTGCTCTGCCTCGCCCAGGAAGAGCGCAATGATGGTGCCAACTTGGACCAGTGAAGCAACGTCCTCCACAACTAGACTGAAGAACAAAAAGACAGCAACTTGTCTGTTCCCCTTCCCCCAATTCCCCAATAAAAATCTTTTAAAACAAACAAACAAACAAAAACTCCTTACAGACAAATCTTTCTTAAGCTTGATATCAGTGTGAACTTCATGGGAAGCAATAAAAATTGATAGGTGTTTTCTAAACCAAAAGTAAAAGAGCACAGCACTGAATTTAAAAAATGTCCCTCAGCAGCATCCTAGATAGGTTTTGACCTACTCACTATTTTGTGGAAGCAGCGGGAGTTGAGATGGGAAAGAATTCAAGTCAACAAAGACTTGACGCCTATTTTCCCAACAAGACATTTTCATTATATCAAGCTAATCTCTCCCATTGTCCCCTAAAGTCACTCCCCTCAATCCTACTGCAGATTCTTCATGGTTTTTGTTCTCCCCAAGCAATCACTGACTTAGATTGCCCCCCACCCCTCTCTTCTGGGCCTACCCACAGCCTACATGTCTCTGAGGGTTCAGCTCAAGCCTGACCTACTCCATGAAGCTTCCCCCCACCTCTCCAGCCACAGTGCACTCTGTGTCAACTGATGATCTGCTATATATTTTATACTTTATCTTCTACCACTTGATACTGTCGGTTGGTTTCATCTCCAGCTCTTCTCTCTCCCGTGCTCCAAATCCATACTAACTATGACTGGCTGGCACCTCCATTCAACATGTCCAAAACAATAACTCGTCATCTTCAGTGCCAATCACCCAACACACACACACATACACACACACACACACACACACACACACACTCCTCCTCCTATCTTCCCTATCTTCTCTATTAATGGAGTTCAGCACATGTCAAACATTTCCAATGTCTAAAGCACTGTTAGGCACTATGGGGACAGAAAGGTATACAAAGATGAATGAGTCCCCCTTGACCTCCCTGTCAGGATGAGTTAGTCACCTCTCTTCTGTTCACCACTCTCCAAAGCACCCTGTATTTAGCTCTATCACTCAACTTATCATACTGCATTCTTATTATATCTCTCCCTCATTAGACTATGAACACCGTGAAGGCAAGACTCATGTCTTGGGTTTCTCTGCCTCACCAGAGCTCAGGACAAAATCTGATACCTTAGCCATGGTGAATAAACCTTTGCTGGCTGGCTAGGTGGATGACACTAAATGTCCCTAGGGAGATTACCAACAAGCTGGATCCCTAGACTTACAGTTATCCTCACCTCTTCCCTTTTCCTCATAACTAATCGTCAGCAAGTTTTCTTGATTCTACTTTAACAGCATCTACTGCATGCATCCACTTTCTCTTCCTCCCCACTCTCACAAAAGTAGCCGACACCATTATCCAGATTGCCTGGACTTCAGCAGTCATCTCTGCTGGTTTCCCCACATCCTCATCGGTTATCGCCACCACTTCCCTGCAATCCAGCCCTCACACTACCACTTGAAAGATCTTTCTGAACCACTTTGCTATCCCCTGCATCGACACCTCTCTTAATGTAGCTCCTGCTCAAGCCCCCACTCCTCTTCACTCTCTGTATGCTCAACCCAAATTATCTTACCACCCACTCCATGCTTTAACGTACTAACTCACTCTAACCTCCTTCTACCAGTCAGAAGCCTCTTTCCATTCTTCAAGACCCAATTCACGTGTTTCCCCCTGACTTAGGTTATTATTAATTGAATTGTTTCTTTACTGCTCCATCAGCTCCTTATTTAGACTTAGAGTTTTGTCTGTGTTATTTATTCTGTCCTATCCTGTTAGATTTGATTGTGTACACACCTATCTTGACTCCTAGACTGTCAGGTCGTTGGAGGCAGAGTCCATGAGAAGAGATTATTATAGCCTTCCCCACCCAGTGCCTAGGAATGCTCAGTGAACAAAAGCTGAGCAGACTTTAATGACCTGCCCCACAACACTCATTCATTTTGCAAATATTTACTAAGTGTAAATGGAACAAAAAACATCTCTGCTCTCAGAGCACTTACATTCTAATGGTAAGATACATACAGAAAATGAAATAAATAAGTAAATGTATATTATGTTAGATGGAAAGAAATGGTAAACAAAAAAATAAAGCAGGGAAGGATGATAGGGACAGTGGGGATAGGGCTCGATTTTCTCCCAGGTGACCGAGGAAGACCCTACTGCAAAGCTGACAAGTAAGCAAAGACCCAAAAGAGGTGAGGGAATCAGCCATGCTGATATCTGGAGAGAGTGTTCCATCCAGGTGGAAGCACAGAGAGTGAGGAAGGCACCTGCCTGGCCCAGACAACCAGGTAGCCAGTGTGGCTCAAGTGGAATGAGTGAGGGGGAGAGAAGTCAGAGGGGAAGTCAGAGGTGCATGGGAGGCCAAATCCTGAAAAGCCCTGTAGACTATTGGGATGACCTTGGCTTTACTCTTTTTCAGATGGCTCCCCATTACCCAAGTTTGATTTTGAAAAAAATCACTCTGGCTACTAAGTTTTAATTAGATTATAAGAGTGACAAGGACAGGAACAGAGATGCCAGTTAGAAAGCCACTGAAATAAGCTAGGTGAGAGATGTTGTTCTGCACACTTCTAGTCCCAGGCTTTCCCTGACAAGCAGGCTTCCTGGCCCCAGCTGTTCAGAACACCTGGGTAGAACATTTTCAGGGGTTACCTAGGTGCTCAAATCAGAGCCACAGCTTACATGTGTGTCCTTAACTTAGTTCTAAACCAAAGAGAGTATTGTAGAAAATTGAAGGGAAGGGTCCAAAAACCAGGACAAATAGCCTGGTTATTTGAAAATCTTCAGATAATCCCCCAAGTAGTGGGCAGTCCACAAGGGAGTGTCCAGACTGTGCTACAAGGCATCTCAGTGAAGGACATTACAGAGGGCATGCTCTCTGTCCACTTCCCGTGTTCCAAAGCAAGGCAGCAAGTGCTGTGCCTTGTATTTTTGCAGACGAAGACACTGAATAAGAGAGCAAAGTTAGAGTGAATCTGGAAAGTTATTTAGAGATCCTAATAACCAGATTATACCAATTGAAAGATATAACAAGGGGTACAAATTGGCTGTGAACATAATCAAAACCAAGGAAATTCCAGGCAAGGCCTGAAAATACTTCAGGGCTCAACAGAAACTTCTTGATTCTCAATAATAAAAAAAATGCTAAGACTATATATATATATATATATATATATATATATACACACACATATATGTTGATAACAATTATTCCATTAAAAGAGATGACCCCCTCCCTTAACCCAACAACCCAGAAAAGTGTGCAAAGTAAAATTTATCCTAAATGCTTTAAGGAAAAGCCCCTAACAATGGTTATCTGGGGGAAGGGGCCAAGGAGAGAGGAATTTTCATTATCTACACTATGTATCTCTGTAATGTTTTATTTATTTACAGTGAGCTTATAATATTATTAATTAATAGTATTACTTTTGAGGCATTAAAAAAGCAATAAAGATATCTATAACAGAAAAAATGGCACTGAGAAGCTACTCCCTCAAAGGAGTAAACAAATGGGTAAACATTTTTGAAAAGTGAGGAGATATAATGAATAACTGAATATTATTTTATCTGTATCATGACATTTTTATATAACAGTTTTTTCAGGAATATAGGCAGGGCCTACTTTCCTAAATAATATGAAGCAAGGAAGTTACCTAAACAAGCTCTAGAAAGACTACTGAAGAGCAATTAGATTTCACTCTCTGGATATTATTATATGAAAAAGAGTAAACAGTTAACAGTATGCAATGAGTTCAGAGCAATCTAATCCAGAATCAAAGTGGCCAGACAGCTTCCTGCAGTCCTATGATTGTTATTTCTCAAACATATCTCTGAGGCATTTAGACTTAGGTCTACTTAAAGAGCCTAGGGCTAAAAAAAGGAAGTTAGCACATGGCCTCTCTTATTATTGTATTCTGCCATGGTGATTTCTTAGAGTAGCAGGAAGGACTATATACTATGTTACATGGGCTAGAATTAGTAGACAGAAGGGGACGTAGTTAAGGTGGAACAGTTGTCTGAGCTTTGAATTCTTTTGCTTTTTTAGTTTTTTGCTGCCTTGATGTAATCTAAATACAACTTCATTTCAAAATATCTAATCACAGATTTTCCCCAGTTCTGTTCTAGTCTATTTTGGACACACACATACAAGTACAAACAATTTCGGTTAACAAATTAAAACTACAAGGTTTCCAGTAAGAATACCAAGAAAGTACAAGAGTCACACTCAAAAAGGTTTTTAAAAGATTGACTTACCACTGGATTTAATTTCTCGGACATAATTACTAGGGAACCAGCCTGTTCTCCCATTTAATGTGCCTTCCCACCAGCCTCCTTCTTCGACTCTAGTGACATAAATGATGTCCCCTTTACAGACTGACAGTTCATCTTCATTAGTCTGCTTAAAGTTGAATCTTGCCTTTACTATCAACTGGTGACTTCCGTTTTCCGTCATCTCCTGGAAAAACAAAAGCCACACCAGATTAAGCACTCATCTAAATGAGGCAGGGGCAAAAATTACATGAATTTAGGCAAATAAAGTGGGATGACCAAGGATAAAAGCCCAGGTCCATCTCAGTCTAGAGTTTTTAATTTAGGAGTAGGCCTAACATGGATAGACCTCAGGGGGGATTAATAAACACCTCAAAACTATATGCAAACGTTTCCATTTGTGAGAATGTGTATTTTGAAGGGGGTCATGGCTTTCATTTATTTCCCTCTCTCCCTACCAATTATCTAAAGACACTTATTTAAATGATCCAAGAAACAAAGTAGAGAGATAAACTATTCCATCCTGCCTCTATCCAACACAGACATATCTTACGTAATTATACGACCAAGATTAGGTACTAACCTACTCTCATAAAATCTGCCTCCCACATCCCAATTACTAAGAATATCTTAAATTGGTTAAGACTTAGTCATAGGAAAAGATCAAATACTTCTTAGTTACTTAAGTCAGGAGTTCTTAACCTGTCACAGGTCCCTTTGAGAAGCTGATAAGCACAATTGAACTTTACCCAAAACACATACCCATAAGTTCATACACAGGAGATTTAGCACACAATTTGAGAGGGTCCAAGGAATGTGGAAACATAGTATTCACCTTCTCAAAGGGAACTGTGATCTCAAAAGGTTAAGTGCTTTGGAAGTAATAACTCATGATAGCTTAAAGCAAGTGGGTAGCTTTTAAAAAGGGATACTGCCTCAAAAGAGCAGGAGACAGGGTATCTCTGCCCAAACAAAAGCTCCATTTACAACCAAATGCAAAAATAACAGGGCTATCCCAATATAGGAGCTCATCGTAGGCCCAATTGGAATACAAAGAGACAAACAAAATGACAGTAACATGATGATAATAAACCAAGGGATAGGGAAAATAACAGCAAACTGCCATCAGGAGGGAGTCATAATGACATATTTGCATAGCATTCTCAGTTAAACTACTTGCTCAGTACTAGGAACACACAGGCTTTGGAGCTTGCACCCCAATTTTCTGACTCTGCGTCCCACATGCCTTTGATTTGTTCAGAGGCATTTGGGCCACCCTGAATTGGAGTTAGGTTTAAAATTTGTTTTATCGAGAGACGTCCCAAACAAACAGGATGCCTATCTTACCACATATGAAGATGCAACTGGGATCTCGAACTAATTTCACGGATTTAAAACAGGCAGGGGAAATTGGGGACTATACTTACCACTGCCTTTGACTGCCTTTGCAGCCCTGGAGCTGCGCTAGAAACGGCTCCCTGTGGGTTTGTCTGAGAACTATTAGCAGCACTAAGAGAAGAGGAACGTCCACATGGTCTTTCTGATAGCTGATCTGTGAAAAGAGGAAAAGGCATGGTAAAGAGAACCACTCATGTCAGAAAAACATCTACAATATAACATTATCTTTTTGGGGACATTCCCATTTATGGGAATAATTGGCCGTAATTCTGTTATCATTATGAATGTGCCAAGTGTATTTCATCTCCCCCTCCCTTTTTGGTGGCCGACTTCTTTTTCTTAACCTTACTGGCCATTGCTCTCCAGTAGAATGAAAAACAACGACAGAACCACATTTTCTCTTAACCCATTTCCCTACAAGTGTTCCCTCCTGAGCCAGTTGCAACAGTATGCCCTGTTATCCCAGGCAGAACTATATTGGGTACCAAACAGCTGTTTGTGGGTCTTATTACTTTGAAATATTTCAAATTTCTCTCTTTGTTTTTTGGCCTATAACCGAGTGGTTCTTTTTTTCCTCACATGTAGCAATATGTGTGGCATATATAATGTCAAGTCTCCCTTGTGCCTGGTGTGTGGGGGGAGAATAAGAATGAGAGAGTACGTGTGCCTGGGAAAGATGCAATCTTGACACTAGAATAATTTTTTTGAAATCAAACTCAAGAGTCTTGTCTTCCTTGAAATCATGTGAAATTCGAGTAGACCAGCGCTGAGCTGGACGTTTTTCAGTATGCTGAGAGTGTACTAAAGAGAGGAGCTGGCTTCTTGACAAATTCAAATGAGGGTTCTTTTCCTCTCCATTTATTTTTAAAAGATATAAACTGCAAACGTCTAAAGCCCAAACATTCCCTAGGCGACAAGCTCAGTATCCAAGTAGCTTCCTTGATGCTGTGGGTTTTAACTTTCACCTCCTTGTATTTTATAAATCTCTGTGGCAAGGGAAGAGACTGTAAAACTTGCTAGGAAAGTTTGGCAAAGGAACGTATAATTTGTATGGCATAATGCTAGAATGATACGGCCCTCCCTGCCCAGAACTGGAGAGTTGTCATGTGTGTTAAATATAGTTACTTGAATTAGCTGTACTTTCTGCTCTACGCCTTGCAATAGCTCAAAAGCATTTTTTCCCAAATAGCAAAAGAACAACTTCGGAGAAGTATTTTTACATTTATTGCTATTATATACAGCTCTTTTGACGAAAACTATAATTACATGAGAGCTTCCTAGATGCTCCATTCTATTTGGCACTTGATTATATTGTCTGCTCTTCTACTCTAATTGTTTCACGTGGGTAAGTTGAGTCTCCCTAAATAGAGGGTAATTTTCTCAAGGTCGGGGACCATATCTTACATGTTGTACTCCCTTGCAGTGCTGGGAACACAGTCTTCTGACTCTCCAATGGCTTGAGCAGCAAGACCTGTATTTGGGCACAGGGCTCTGGAGTCAGTCAGATGCAGGTTTGAATCCCAGCTCTGCCACTTACTTTCTAGTTGGGCAAGTGCGGGCCTGACTTTCCTTATCTGTATATGGGCCTAATAATAATACCTACCCCCAGGGTTGTTTCAAAGATTGAATGAGACTACCTAAGACTTGTAGGACAGCCTAGCCAGGGGTTGGCAAACTTTTGAGATGGAAGAGCCAATCCTGTCCCTCACAACAATTTAAAAATGATTCGAGAGCCATAAAACAAATGAAATCACAATTATGTGAATAATATCCTTTAAAATGTTTATAAATGAAACTATGATAGTTTTATTTTCATTTTCAATTTTACTTCACAACCACACGTACGTACCCAAAGAGCTGCATGTGGCTCGCGAGTTTAGACCCATGGTAAGGGCTCAAAGCACTTTAAATGATTACTACTGCCCAGCTGTATGTAAGATACTATATCACAGAAGGAGTGAAGTTATGTAAGGGTAAAATTTGGTAGCTCAATAATGTAATTAAACTTAGCTATTGCAGTTTGCAGTTTGATCCATCCTGATATTCAGCTGTTTCCTCTTTGTCTCGCCTCCCACTGATTAGCTGAAGAACTCTGTTCCCTTTGTCTAAGCTACCCATACCTTGTTAATTAACAAACATCCTAACCTGAAAAGAGCAGCTTCCTTAATCCTCAGGCGACCAGATGTCCGGACCCAAGATCACAACTCCCTAGCAGTTTTTCACAACTCCCTAGTAGTTTTTGTGCAGATGGCGGGGGCGGCAAGCGGCACCGAACCTGAGTTCTGTAAGTTATACTCCAAGGTGATCATCACTTTCTTTGCATTTACTAGGAGTTATATTTAATACCTCCAATGTGGTGTGTATTAACACTTAAATAAATGATTCTCTTTTCACTCACTATGAGCCTGAGTTTTCATTTCCAGTGCAAGGTTCCTGAGGGGTTCCTTTACATGAGCAAAGACATACAGAAAACTGTGAGAAAAAATGTCTCTAATGGGGAAAGGGAAGTAACCGCTATAGTCTGTAAACTCTATGAAAAAAGGAACTGATCTTTTCCTTTTTGTTTTGTCTTTTTACACTCAGTTGCCTATTCAATAGCTTTGAATGAAAGAGTTCTTAGTTCTTATCATTATACTACAGGTATTAGAATGACATCTGTGATAGGTATGTTTAAATCCTAAACCATGTAAACCTAAAACATTTGACACCCATTGGAATTTATTTGTGGGGAGGGGAAAAATTTGCACCAATCAAACAATCCTGGCCATAGTTGGCTCCTAGGGTAATTAGAAACACATGGAACCAAACATGTCACCCAGAACTCATAAATCACAAGCTCTGCTTACCTTCTGTTGCTTTGTTGACAGCTAAAAGAGTGCTCAGAACCTTGGAGAAATTGACTCCTGAATAAAGGTCATCAGGATCAAATACCTATGAGAAAGGAAATTGAAACTGTAAGACGCTGTAAGTATTCAACTCAACAAACCAAACTATCGAAAGACCACTTCCTTTAGCTCTCAGAAGAAAAAAAACATGTAAAAGCCAAGACCCAAACCTCGCTATACCTTTGGGAGAAATGAAAGCAGCAGCTGAGCCGCCTAATGACATGTGGCAGGCCATCAGTGAGTCAGAGCAAAGCAGTAATGGGAAATGGGAGCCTAGCTGGAAATGCACAGTGCATGCTCAGGCCCACTCTTCTGGCCTGAACATATCAATTCTCTCAGCCCAGTTACAGGAAACTCATATGCATGGGTTACAGTTAATGCCCATCACCTACAGAAGGACATAATAGTAGACAAAGAAGGAGATGGAGCCTTTTTGACACGTTTTCATCTGTCCAGTTTATTCATTGTACTCAATAGGGACACTCTGAGCTGTGCCTTTCTCTCTGCATTTCGTTCTCCCCACTGCCACCCACCAGGTCCCAACACGTGGGATCCCGACTCCACATTGCCCAAACTTTGTGCCCAGGTCTGTCTTTTGCTCCCAGCCTCAGTTCCTGGTTTCTGCTGCTTGACCTTGACCCCCTCAGCTCAGCTTCATTGATTTGAACCTCTGTCTGCCTGAGCCTATAGATTCTGCCTGGCCTTAAGTGACTTTTCCAGATATGACTTCTGGCCTTCCTGATACAGCAACAAAACAGTAAATAAATACAATATTTCCCTTTGACAGATTAAACAATAAATTAAATAAATACAACATTTCACTTTGCCAGTCTTCTGATATGCCACTGTCTCTAGTAAAAATACCAATCAGTTGTTGTTTTAAATATAATTTATTAATTTTAAAACATATTGAATGTATTAAAACATATTGAGACTTCTTCTATTCTCACATATGTGTATTTCAAACTAGAAGTATTCTCAACTGCAAACACACTCTATTAATCTGCCAGCCAATGATATAGATATGTATATCTGTAGGTAGCCAGATGCCCACTTTCTGCATAGAAATGCACCTGCTAAAAATATTTCATTGCAGGATGTCTGAGTTTGTGTCTTTTTTTTTCCAAACGTGGTGATGGCAATAAAATATACGTTTTCATGTGGGACATGACTGAGCCTAAGATTTTGAAGGATCTGTCTTCCCATTAGGTAGAGCCATTTGCTCCATTTCTAATCTGCCTGTTTTCTGGGAGCCACGTCTAGACAAAATGTTATCTTCTTTGTGTACATATTCTTGAAGATCTAAAATCCGTCTCTAGAATGAAAATATATAGTATCCATTTTTATCAAATTGGGAGGGCATCCGTGTAGATAATATATGCAAATGTGAGCCTAAGAAAGTCTGCCTACTCGGGAATTCACAGCTCTGCTATTCATTTAATCAAAAAACGTTTTGTATTAAAACTTAAAATGATTAAAAAGCCCAATGACATCTAAAATTGAGACACTAATATACTTTTTAGTAAAAGGGGTAATGCCAATATTCCTAAAGCGTTAAATGACATTACAATCCAAATGTGTTTCTGAATACTACATTATATATTTCAAAGTTTTCCAGGAATAAATTGATAGGCATTCTGTTTTAGATTGCCAAAGCCTGGGTGAACAAGACCCAGTAGATCCTGGTAAGAGTATCTAGTATCCCAGGGGATTCCAGACTTATCGAATCTCCCTTAAAACTGATTAATGGGAAAGTGTTCATGACATGTATGCCAACATGGTAACAAAGCAAAAAATATATATTGGTTTTTAGCCCATCATTCCTAATGGGAGTGTGAATATGTGTGTGCGTGTGGATGTGTGTGTTGGGTTCAGTGTGGTGGACATGGGTAGAGTCTAAAATAATAAGCAGAAGTAAATATTAGCAGAATAAGGCATGAGAGCAAAAGATGGGATAAAAACCTCCCTCCCTTTGTTTATGTTGGTCCATATCCAGGTTAATTGACTGCCTATATATGTAGCAACACTAGCATCATTCACTTGTACCAGCACTTGACTGAATATGAGAACAAATAGAGCTGACAGAAAAATAAAACATGTATCAACAGGAGTCATTGTGTCTGCTTGAGGGACGTTGCCTGTACTATGCAGTTTCCTTTTTAAAAAACCCCAATACACTAGACTTTGCCCACAGACATTGTTCTTCTCACTGCAAGCCTATTCTGTAGCACTAGGAACTACACAGGAAAGAGTTGGAAGAGGCCTCTAGTGACTAGTAGAAAAGGCAACACCTAAGGTTTACAATTTCAGAGCAGTTGGAAGATTATATATACAACCACAAACACTCTCCACTGTACCACAGCTTTCCAAGCCTCAAATTGAATGCTGTTGAAAATTCCAACCCAGGTCTTTCTTCCATGCACTTGAGATTGGTTCCCTACTAAAATGGAAATATTATTTGAAGGGAGGGCAATGCTTTCAGCCATTACACCTTAGTGGAAATGAGAGGCATAGGACCAAATTTAGAGATGATGATGTGGAGAAAAACTAAGGTCACTGGCGCCCAACTGGGAAAAAGCAAGGGAGAACCCCACAACATAGAGAGGGGTGTAAGGAGAACAAGGAAAAGTAGATTACAATACAGGCCATTTGCCTAGAACTAAGCCCAATCATTTATACATACAAAATAGAAAACCAATTCCCCTTTTCCATCTGCAAAGCACTGGGACTTGTTAAAATGTAAGGTCGATTTGCACATTTATGCTATATGTGGTTTTCCAGTACAAAGTCGTTATGATACTCATCTTCTGGTACTCTGTGCAAGCCTCACTAGCCTGTTAAGTATGGTATGAAACTGAACTTTCTCAATACCTATTTTGGTCCAGAAATTAGCTGGTTAGTTCCAGTTAGATCAGTGAAGGTCAGATGGACAGCAGGATTTCCTCCCTCCATATATCATGACTGTGATGCAGACAAGAAAGAAAGGATTGCTTCTTAGACTACTGCTAGATGGTTTCAAGGTCCCACTGCTGCAATGGGATGAGGCAAGGTTCAAGTAGAACAACTACAAAAACAAAAACATTTACTCTAGGTACACAATGGGAGAGACAGGGATTAAACTTTATTGAAGATTTAAAAAAAGGATTTGCATATAACCAGTCTAAGGTCCAATCCCACATCGGCAGCTCAAATCAGACAAGGCATTTAATTTTTAAATGTTTCCCCACATTTTTCCATTTTGGATATCCTGGTGTTTCTATCCACTAAACACCAGGTGTTAATTCTGAACTGTTGGGGATCTGCCAGTATAAACTGCACAGAAGTTAATATTTTTATGGCTTTACAAATAGATGCTTTTGGAGTAGTTTTCAGTTTCAACATGTATGCTGTTTTATGACATTTTTCCTAAACTGACAAACGCAAGAAAGCACATGACAAGAAACTCCCCCAACCCCTTGTTCCATTCCCTCATCAATTTTATAGCTCCAATTTACTGATTTACTGAGCCCTTGCTATGTGCTGACACCATGCTTGGAGATTAGATAGATACATAGATGATAGATAGATAGATAGATAGATAGATAGATAGATAGATGATTGATAGATAATAAATAGGTAGGTAGATAGTTAGATAGAGATAGAGATAATCTCCATTCATTGCACTTGATTGTCCCAGCAAGCCTGTAATGTGGATACAATTATTTCCCCCCATTTTATAGATGAGTAAACTGAGACTCAGAGTATTTAAGTCACAAAGCAGGAAGGTGATGGAACCAATAAAAATACCCAAAGAAGTTTTGTGAGGGGTGTTTTAGCCCTGCATGCACACTTTATGTTTTCATGAGACATTAAAAATACAAGAAAAAGAAATCCGTGGGTTTGTGCACAAAAAGAAATCCCTTGCTGCTGTCAGTACACGCAGCATTTGTACCATCTGCAGCAAGTTTGTTACAGCCTCTAAGATGACTAATTCAACTAATCATGGCAAAGAGAAAATCTCCCATATGACAAGACTGTCTCTACAGGGGTCTCGCCTAATTCCTGTGTGATCTTTCTCATTTCTAAGTGCAGCCCTGACCCAGCAGGCAACTTTTTCCAGAGCAGGGAAGGGCTGCACTGAGCTACGCCTATTTGTTCATCTGATTCCATCTTATGAACCCACTGTCCATATTTGTGAGGTGCTGGTTAGGTGGAGGTCCAGCCCATGGTTACAGGGCCAAGCCAAACCATTCCTTGGCAACATGCTCTAACCATAAGTTAACAGTCACAGCCCAGCCATACCTTTGTTAAGAGAAGCCATGTCATGTACTAGTTCAGAACTGAGTGAAGTCTCTAACGTCATTTGGCTTCAGTCCCACTCAATCGACTTCCATTTAAAGTTAATTTAGGGTTTGAAGTGATCACAATAAGCCCCATCACTCAACTGTTAAAATCTAATTAACTGAAAAGCAAGGGATTCAGTGGAACCACATGGACATAGCTTATGTTTCAGGCCCATTCAAAAAAAGATTCCAAATATTTTAGGAATATTCTATCTCTCCCTTGTTCATATTGTTCTTACTGAATAAAATCTTAAATTAGTCCATCTTGAATCACATTCTCTAATTCTCACAGCTGAGCACGCTGCCTCTGTCAACCTCTGAACTTTGGAAGAAATGGCATTACATAGTGCGACAGAGCAAGCAAATCTTAGCTGCTTAGTCATATTTCACTGGGTGACACTGCTCTTGACTCTGTAAACACGACCTGGGATGCTTCCACATAGCCCCTACCAAAAGTAGTCACAAAGTCAGCAACAAATAATACCCTAAGCTCAGAAAGTAGACTCAAGTAGCCACTGGTATTCCACTTACTAGAATACAGTGGATGGCACTTGTACTTACCTGGTTTTAAGTAATAACTATTCCTATTTGATAGGGAGCAAGCTTAAGAGAGCAAACCCTGCTCTCTACTCCTCTCTTATTTCCTTGCTTTCTGTCCATTTCAGCAATTTAGGGAACAAGATCTGACTTGTGCATGTACTTGCAATAACATCGTTGTATTGAA